TGTGCATGTGATGAATGGTATAGGTAGTTTGAGAAAAAATAGAGGATTCGAAAAGTAGAATATTAAAAATAATAATTATACTAAGTTCAGCGCTGAAATGCCTATTTTTCGAATCGCCTATGGATGATATAGAATATATAGGATTGAATGAGGTATGAAATGTCAAAAGAATGATAACATGAAGAATGAATGAATAGAAATCTTTGAAAAACTGAATGAAACAAAAATGTGCAAGTTATTTTGGGAAAGAAAACAAGATTTAGGAAATTTCAATATGTATAATGAAGAACCGCATTATAATAATGACTTTTGTGTTAACTAACATCTGAATAACCTGTAAAATAATAAGCCATGAACAAAATCACAGGAGGAGTATTTTTCGCGAGGCACTAGCTAGAATTTGCTCACAATTCGGCATGCCAAAACCGAATTGCTTCTATACGGAATTTTTTCCATATAAGGCATTTCTGTTAGTGTATTTCAGTTCGGAATGCTAAAACCAACTGAACTCGGATTAACACAAATTCTGTATTGAGTTCAATTCTTCAAAATTAACACTTTTTTTTTCTTTTACATATCCAGTATACTTATCTGTTGGAGTAGAAATAAATAAGAATACCAATTATTTCATAATAAAACTAAGAGATTTTTATTGTTTAATAATACTAATAATATTTTCCAAGAGGTGCCTAACTATAGCAAAATCAGAATCGAGTAGTCAACTTATATGAAAATGCCGTAACTAGTAGGAGGTGTATATGTACATTCAGAATCAATAAATTCATAAATTACTATGAAAATTATTGGCAATCATCGACAATGCATGTCATGCACTTTGCATGAGTATGGAAATTTTGATTCGAGAGCGACGCAATTTTAAGAAATGAAAAATTAACAATCAACTAGTTACTGAATAATTAAAAAATATACCTACTGTATATAGCTAAATAGTATATTGCACTTAGCAATACCAAGTCCTATTGAATGACAACTAGTAGTCATAATTAAATTTGGAGATGAAACATATACAAGTGTAAAAAATAATGGAGAATTTTGTCTCTCTCCAAATATTGAACATATCGCGAATATGGAAATGACACACCTACACTACCACCTAACTGTTCTATTATACTTATACTGTATACACAGATCTTACTCAATACTGTATGCGTACCTATACTATATATTTTGTCAATTTAGTTCATTTTATGTATTGCAATGTTCAAGTCGAGATCTTTATTTGCTATTTAAATGGTTTGATGTTTATATGTACTTGGAAATAGAATCTCAGTGTGTAGAAAAATACTGAATATGCGAATTACTAGATCATAACATAAAGTTGTATCTGATGAAGTAAGATTTATTATGGAGAATTATGTTGAAATATGATACGCTTATGACAGATGATAATGCAAGATAAGAGGGACGCCTCGAACATGAATAACAACAATAGTTGCAAATCAGCTGTCAAGCCATGGTGTATGAATAAGTATAAAGATGTTATTTTGTTATTGTCACGTAGTAAATGTGATGCGTGAAGAAAGAGAGATATAATGACGTGAAGGCACTCGAAAGTGCAAATTGATGTATTCGTTTCAAAGTGAGACGATAGATGTATGAAATAATATGTTTTTCTCGCGATATGAAGAGAAATAGGGACAAAGTAAATTGTCAGATTAGAGGAAATAATGGCAGATACAAGGTTAATGATATTCAGGATGTACGAGATGAAGTTTCCACAAAATACCTAGATATTCATCATATGTAATTCAATGCTCGTCGTAGGTATTAGCCAGGAGTGTAGTTGTTTTATGATGAATATCATACAGGAAGATTTGGTTTTTTCGGTGACAAACCATTTATATTATTAGAAAACAAAAAAAAATTAGTACCATTGAGATAACATAGGAATGAGAATTAATTGAACAAATGAAACATTGAAATGAAAATCAAGGATACGGGTGTGTCATTCCTATTTCAAATCGAGAAAGAATCTCTTTCTTACAATTCAAGAAGAAATTAGAGATGAAACAAACAATTTTATATACCTATAGTAGAAAAGAGATCCTTGGAAAAGTGATAGCAGTATATAGGTACATCTTTTTCATGAACTAACTTAGGTAGTTTTGTTTTTAGAGATCGCTAATCGATAAAGTTATGTCAATTATATTCAATTATTTTATAATTAGTTAGGATGTTCGATAAAGTTATGTCAATTATATTCAATTATCTTATAATTAGGTAGGATGTTTCATATGTACTTCTTGTATGAACTTACTGCCGATATTTTTTCTCTCTTGTTACATGTGAAATGGAGAACCACACTCGACGGCACTACAAACATGCGGCCCAGGATTCGACACGAACCGCCAACAGTCACAGGTCCATATACCACGTCAAAGGTGTTTTGGTCCATGAGAAGTTCCATCATTTCTGGAGTCATCTGGTAGATGAAATTCGAACGGTAGAAAGCCCTGGAAAATTGGAAGATGCAGTTATCACGGAATGAATAAGCCGAGTCGATATATCGCAACTATAGGATGCATGCCCCAAACAACTTACTTCGTATCCCGCCTGATGTGCCTCGAAATGGTAGATACGCTGCCCCGTGAAGAGCTGACCAAATCGCATGACGATATGCTTTTCCGACGCTACAGGAGCCCAAAAGGCAGCCAAAATCCACGAAACCTAGACGAAATTTCCACGAGGTTGAGATGGAAAGGTGCAGAATAGACAAAACTTACCAGAGCCCCGACTACAGGAAGTCAATACAGTAACCAAAGTAATGTCTATATTCCCAAGCGATTAAGTTCGCACTACAACTCACTATACGAAAATCACGCCGATTATAAGTATAGATAGTACCGAACTACCGAAATCATTGCGAAAACGAAGCACTAGTAGCAATGGACGACAAACTACTAATTCAGCAATTTCCGTTATCTGCATATAAAGAGACAGAGATACTCTCCTAAATCTCTTCTTGATTTTTCTCCGGAGACGATAGAGCGCAGCATCCAAAGAACGCAGCAATCGCAGTCTATAAGCTGAACCGTACACTGCCACAGAAAACGTCTCATCAGAGAGCTAGTGTCCCCTCCCAGGCGAGATTGGACGCCATCAGACCATCTCACAGATCTCTCGTGCATCAATCCTACCATGTAATGATATCAATGTTATGGATGTTTCAAGTTACGAGTAAAACAAAACATCACTGACCTACGACACTAACATATGGAAAATGGAACCGTAACCTCAGATGACTGGAAGGACAGAGTTCAGTGTCAACAAACAATTAAAGTGTAGTGCCGGACCAAGTGATTTTCAGTGTGGTCCTCTTTGAAACTCTCACATACGCGGAGAAAATAGACTTATCTAATGGACAGTTATCACAAGTTCTTTTCATTTGTACATTTCCTCTTTTAAGTATCGATTATTTTTTTTATGAAATGTTTCTATTTATCATTGATGTAGGTATGATTTTTACACGATTTTATGTCTTTCATTTCATTCGATTACTTAGGTAATTCATTTGATTGACTCATTATTTGATTTGATTATTATTTTGTATCATGTATATAGGTAGTTATAGACACTTGAAGCTGTGGGGCCAGCTTCGTCAAACAGGGGAGATGTGTCAAGAAGTACAAATGTCTATGAAATAACTTTCGTTTATTTCTAGATCTTCATTCATAAATTAACTTTTCCAAATTAAAACATCTTGTACAGTGTTTCGATCAGGTCAAAGCGGAGTTCATAGACTCTAGTTCCGGTAAAATTTGCATGAAACCGCTTAGCTTGCGATGCGGGCCAAGCTATACGCCCGGCATCGAGCATTGCCATTGCGGAAAATTGCAATGTTAGCATCGATTCCAAATATAAATAGATTCCGAATCGATAAGCATTTCATTACTATTCATTACTGATTACTGATTTTTGATTATTATTGATCACCCATTTCTGATTACTGAATTCATTACGATCATGCATTTCGATAACACTTTACTTTATTCCGTAATTGAGTTACTTATTCACGAGTTACTGCCAAAATGTGTACCGTCTTCCCGACTTTGATCCTGCTGGTCAACCCCATGTTAGATGTCATAATGTAAGTACTGTTTTCCATGTTCTATCTGATTTGTTCTTTCTGTATTGTGTTCCGTTTGGTAAATTTACTATTGTTTGTCTCTGCTACTTTGCCATGTGGCAAGCATTTACGATTTTCCCAGTAAATCAATAAATGTTAATTTTATACGAAAACTATCTTGACTCCATTTGGGGATGAATATGGTTGGGTGGTAAAATGATCGAAATCCTCTCATCAAGCCAAGCGAGTAGCCTTAGTTGCGATCCATAGGAGGGCAACATCTGAGTTGCGACATGTGGTGGACACGCCGTTTGCCAAATAATCTACCAAAACCATCTGAGTTGCGACAATATGTTGAATCTGTTTCCTTTTTTAAGAAATTCACCTTGTGTTCATGAATGCGCTGATTAGTCGTACGACCTGCCTGACCCATATATATCTCAAGACAAGATCCACAGTTGAGTTTGTATACCCCTGATTTTTTGAATTCAGAAGTTTTGTCTTCATTATTTTCGATAAACCTCCCCAACGTGTTATTTGTTCTATATGCTACTTTCAAGTCCTGTTTATGTAGAAATGAAGCTGATTTTTCAGTTGATGATTCGAAATAGGTTTAAGTTCTATGATTCTGATTGATATTCTTGATGGAAGGATGAACTTCTTGAATAGTTTAATTATGAAGTTTCTCAGAAAGAATACTGTCTATCAAATTGACGTTGTATCCGTTGTTGACTGCAATCTGTTTCATGATATTGAGTTCTTTATTGAAATTTACTTCCGAAAGGGGAAAATCTCATCGTGTGTGAAGATGTTTACATCAACTATAGATTCTCATCAGAAAACGGCCGGGTCAATTCGGCAATTATCCGAATTTCATCAAATGAGTTCAGCAAATATTGATTGAGAGACCTACCTTGAATCCCTGTACAGGTCCTCTGCAAATATAGTCGAGATCAGGCTCGTATGCTTTCAGGACTAAGAATAATCCTGCCGAAAATCCTGCTGATAACGCTCTTCTCGGAAACGTGTCTTTCTTAGCTGTCTTCGGATACCCATCTTCCAGAGTCCAACCTTCTGCATTTCTGCCATGACTCATATAATCTCCGTGTAAAAACCTATGAAGAAGATACCTGGTAGATTAGTAGAGCAGTTGGAGGAATTGAGGTGGAAATAATTTCCACAAAAACGCAGTTTTCATTTTCTGAAGCCACATTCGACCTCTTACACTATATTAGAAATATAGATGCATTCTTTCATGCAAAAATGTTTCAATGCAACTTCTCATATTTCAGGTGCCCAAACCGAAATGATTGTTATGTTCCGCTACTCATGTTAGGATCTTCAGGATAATAAGATTCAAACGAATTTCATAATCTTCTCAAAAATGATAATATGGTTAGCAGACCTCAAAATTTGTGTCGAGGTGTGAAACAATCATTTTGGTATGTGATTGAAACTATTCTCTGTGACCGTTAATGAAAGGTTCCATTATTTGATATATTATTCCAGGTATACCTAAATATAGTGAATTAAAAGCAGCGATGGAAGATAACAAATGATCATTATTTCCGTCAAGTACTGATGATAGTTCGAATTGTGTTAAATTGACTGCTAACGGTGTCCAACGAATTATAAGTGCTAGCAAGTAGTCATCGTTTGTACATAAATCCGAACAAGATGAAGAATGATCTCAGGTTTAAATCAGAGAAGCATCAACTAGTAGCAGCAGCAGCACCAGCAGCAGCAGCAGCAACAGAGCATTGTGATCTGACCTGTCGACATTCGCATTCATAGATAATCGCTTGTTTTGTGGCCAATGCACCAAGGAAACTGAAAAAATATTCAAATCTGCAATTTTACCGGCACGAACTTTCGCGTTTCGACAAACTATTATTGATGTGTGTGATGCAAGAAACGATTTTTGATCATCAAATGTTTTTGCAGGTCTTCTTTCCGTTATCGATACTCGCCAGCAGCAGATGCTCTGTATAATCAGGAATGTAGTGTGAATTTTGGAAAAGACGACTCTATTCCGAAGAAACATCAACATGATATCACCAATGAACAGACAAAGTTAGCAGAATGTCCTTCTGATAAAAATAAAGAAGATGCCTTTTTAGAAATATGCAGGTGGTTCAAGAAAAATGATGAACCAATTTCAGTTCAGGAGTTACTGGACAAAATGACAGAGCTGCTGCCAGAAAATATCGAACCTCACACTGTTCGTCGTACGCATAAAAAATTAGAAGAATATGAAAACATTAGATATAATAATCAACAAATTCAATTGAACAGGCACTTATGCAAGCTGCAAGGCCACGATCTATTATTAGTTCAATTCGTCTAGGTGTTGGTGTGTAGTATCATCGAGATTTTCGATCTCGGTTACTTGTCGATGAACTTTATAAGCTTGGGTTTTCTGTATCATATGATGACGTACGGAAGTTTTTGTAAAACTGAAGTAGATGAACCTTGTGGAACCAGATGTAAATGTCGACGATACGGAATTCTTTGAACAGTATTGTGTAATAATTGTTCGGGAAGGTACCAATATTCCAATCAAGGAAGTTGGAGATGATGAATGAACTCTTGTTACATATGCCAAATATGCCATTTTTATTAGGTTTATGATTTATACGTATTAACGAATAAACGAATATTGGAAACACTGTACTTTTATTTTGCACAAAGGTATCATTCTATATTTTCTCATATGTGTTATTCTATGCATACAGAACTGAGAAAAGCAAAAAAAAATTTTATGGGAATTATTTCCACCTGAGACCATTTTTTATCGCATATCTACTACACTAGATTATAACATGTTTTTTTCTGCGGATATATGTTTCTACACAAACAATCGCCCTGTTAACAACTTGGTATACAACAAGGAAATAGTCCGAATAGATAATGAATGAAATAAAATGAAAAGGTAATAGGTACATAGCGTTGAATGAACAACTCTCATGTAAAGTAACCAAAATTCATCCAATCTGACCGAGAGCAATAATTCTCCATGGTATTCACAAGTTGAATGCTCAGGTGTGTGAATTGACAGAAAACTCACCAAGTTTCTGAATTCAACTATTGGAGCCCAGTATCGATTTCTAAACAGATGAAGGAAATTAGGTGTGGGACAAAAATTGAATATTTATATGCCTCTGTAGTCTGGGGCCCCACCGCTGAATCTCATATGACCAGTTTACAAACATTATCAAACAAAATCACGACACTGATGATACGATCTCCCTGGTATGTTCGGAATGATCAAATCGCCAGGGATCTCTGAAACTCCCTACAATCTTGTTTATCATTAGACGACAAAACATCAATACTTTCCAAACAGCTGAGGTTCGTGATGATCAGCTTCTTCGAAAAGCAGTTGATTATGACCCAGGTGATCAATCAAGTCCAAAAGAGCAAATTTGTCAATAAACTAGAGAAAATATCAACATTATGACTGAATTTCATCTCGAGATTATAATATTTATTTGTTCCGTTCGATCTTCTTCAATTCTCAGAATGTATTTCTGAGACTTGTTTGGGCAAAAGGGCTGTTTGCATCAAACTTCAATACCATTTTAAATTTTATTTTTTATAGATATCAAAATAATAGAAAATCTTTCCTGGTCTGAATCAAATAAAAGAAGATCCAATAATATCAACTGATTGAAATAATATTAGATGATAATTATTGCGATGGTTGTGCTACACAAAAAATATTAACTTACACTTTATCACGAAGAAGTTCGCTCTTATCCAACATATTGAATGTAAAACACAAGCCATCTTCTGTTAGTATAGGTGTGAACATATTATCGCAACTTTCATTCAACAATGTCCATTTACAATTGAAGAAGACATCTTCAAATTGAGGCGCAATCTGAAATGAAACACAACAAATAATGAAAATCTCACAGGTGGCTATACCTCCCTATCAACAATTTTGAAATATACATGATTTTCATCCAACGACATGAACTTCAACGTCCTCTATCCTTATAACAAAGAGATGGATAAAATGTTTCATTGAACTATACGGGGTGATTCATTAAGAAGAAGCAATATCTGAACACGAGATGGAAAACACCAAAATATGAAGATTTAGAAGATTTAGTGCAATATGTCTTTCGAAAATGTTGTAGATGAAGTGTTCGTGAAACAATTTTATTTTAAATTTTCTCATATCATTCGTCAAATGTTGATTTTGACATTGTGTGTGCCTTCGACGTTGATAGTGATTGTCATTATTGTTTACTGCCCTAATTGAAACTGTTACTTCGCTAACTTTTCAATTCAGAATAATGAGAATGTTGAAAGTGGAAGACAACTTTCTTCAAGAGCGAAACAGAAAACGTTAATTAGACAAGTAACGCTCGTATATTTTCAACTTATTTTGATCATCGTTTCATGGACAAAGAAGATATGATGTACTGGTACTGGTACTGGTGGGGGACGTTTCCACGTCAGCAACTAGTCCCTAAAGGGACCTTTTTGCCAACCCCAAGTGTTTTCAATGGCTGATGTGGTTCGCTCAAGAGAGCTGGCTAACATCCTTTTCAGGCACCGCCCATCAGCTCTCTTTCAGAGTTTTTCGGCTGTGTTTTGTAGGCTAGTAATGTACTCACTACCATATGCGCAGTTGCAGGCCTGCTAACTATCCTCGTTAACCCCCGAGACCGAGGTCTACTTAAGCAGCTGGCCCGCTCTCACGCTCAGCTGGTAGTTTTTTCTCACCCACCTACATACACCGTCCTACTCCTCCTCTGATGCTCACAACCACATCATCATATCTTTCTGCGTGTTCTGTGTAGGCTTTGTTACTAACTCCATGCGCCACTTCAGGAGCAGCACTGTTAATTGGAACGCAACAGCGAATCATGCAGGACTATCCCCAGCCGATGCTACGAAACTTCACAATATTCAATTCGTAAATAAAATATTGAAAAAAGTTCCTTGCTCGTGCTGGAAATCGAACCCACGACCTTGCGGTCGTGAGACGGACGCTCTTCCACTGCGCCAATCCCGGCCCAGATATGATGTAATTTACCAAAGTAACAGAATCCTACCAGTGCCTTTCATGAGCAATCACGAAATGAAATATAAATTCGTATTCCTCAGGTCAGAGAACTCAAATCTACAAAATGTAATGCAATCAAAACTCACAAATTATATAGAAATTTCGAAATAAAATCTTCCCCTTGAATTCCCTCCATTTCCTAAACCAGCAACATTCTCATTAGTCATATACGGCTACATCATCTTCATATTTTGGTCTTTACTATCTGTAGTTCAAAGATTACCCATTCTTTACGAGTTGCCCTGTATGAGTAGATTCTTGAACTAACAATCAGTTATCAGAATTGATCACCCTATACATTATCCAAATCACATTATCAATAATCTTGTATCAAAACACGTTTCATGTTGTTTTGTCATTTGGTGTGCAAGAATATACCTGATGATTTTCCAAGGCCATGGGTCTATTGTGGCTCACCCCTAGAAGTTACAATTCACTGTACAATCCACATATTTTCACAAAGTCTATGGTTGAATTAGGTGAGATTTCTCTGAAATCGATAGGTTTCAAGTTGGTGAAGCCGAATATGTCGAACCTCAGTTCCTCTAAGCAAGAGCATGAACATAATATGTGTTCAGCAGTCTCGTCTTCAACACAGCAGAACCGACAGTCCGTTTGTTGGTCAGACCCATCCTTCCCAGGTGGTAGCTTAGACGACAGCAGTTCTGTCAAAATTCGCAGGTTGCTCCTGCTACATTCTAGGATCCGCCTGGTTATATTTTCGATGGTTTAATGGGTTATCCTATGAATTCAGTTAGTCTTTTTCCTGTTTGAACGTGAGTCTTTTTCCTGTTTGGTGAGGATGTCGGCTTTCTCGATGCCCTCCACCTCCTGGTGTCTAGGCACCAACAGAAAAGTAACTCTGTTACACAGCTCCATACAAGCTTGGAATTTATCTTGCTGAAGCTCAGTGCTTTGAGAGCAGCCTGACTGTCTGATAGAATACTGCTGTTTTTGTTTACTAGAGGTCTATTCGTCAACTCTCTATAGCACACAATTCAATTGCGAAGACCTCCACCTGAAAGATTGTAGTATACTTACCAAAGTTGACAGAGATGCACTGTGAACACCTTCAACTTGTTTACTATTAGAGGAAGTGAAACGAGATTTGGGGTTCCTGAATAATCCAATTGACATTCTCTGCATTGCTGTACTTCCCGTTTCATCAAAAAATACGCCAACTTTCGATTTTAAAATAGAAAGATACTAGTTTTAATAAGGTTATTTCGACTGATCACGAAGATATTTGCATTCAAAATGCTCGATGAGTGTGACAGAGAAAGAAGTTTCGAAATTATGCCGTCACACCTATTGGGCATAGAAACTTCGAATGCAAATAAATATCTTTGTAACCGTTTGAAATAACCCTCTACATCTCTGAATTCGTAATGATGATCCCCAACCGATCATGGAATGAAATACAAATAAAATGCAGAATCGAGAGTTGGGTGTAGTAGGAAGGGGTACGGTATGGGCCACCCCCTCCACTTTTTTCTCTCTCCCCCCCTCCACCTCTCACCGCGTCGTCATCATCGGCGAGCAAAGCGAGAGATCCGTTCCAGAGATAACGATGCGCATTTTATTCCATTTTTCAACAACGGCTATATACAGGGTGTTTGAGTTGGGTAATAGTTTGGAAAAAAATATAGGATGAACCCAAAAGGCGTTATACCTCTCCGACCTACATATAAAGGCTACCCGCTATAACATGATATATACAGGGCGTTTGAGTTGGATAACAGTAAAAAAATATACAGGGCGACTCATTCACTTTTGAGGGATTAGACAGCTGACGTATGACAGATAACAAAGGATTGATGACACGTGACTAGGCGACCTGCAAGTCGGCTATCTAATAATTTAATTCAATATACAGGGTGTTTGAGTTAGCAATAGCGATACAAAAGTATATACAGGGTGTCTCACAGGTAGCAAACATATGTATGACAGAGTATCCGTTTGATATACAGCAATAATAGCAATACAAACTCGCATAGGGCACTCGTGGCCTGACGTTTGACATTTGACAGATGACCAAAAACGCAAAACGGTGCGCATTTAATTAAATTTTTCACCCAATAATGGCTATATACAGGGTGTTTGAGTTGTATATCAGCTGAAAAAATATACAGGGTGAATCGCAGTAATACTACCCCACTCTAGGGTATCAGAGGGTTGAAGAGGGTGCAGGTACTCTAAGAGAAGGATTTTTAACAGGCACTTCGAAAATAATGGTTTCTCTATATGCAAAGTCTCAAGGTTTATGAGATATCATTTGAAATGTGTGTGTGTAAACGTTCAGTTATGTGATGGAAATATGTCGAACAACTCTTTATCAAAACTCGTTCAATAACATGATATATACAGGGTGTTTGAGTTAGCAATAGCGATGAGAAAATATATACAGGGCGTCTCAGGGGTAGACTCAGCGAACATACGTATGATAGAGTATCCGTTTGATATACAGCAATAATAGCAATACAAACTTATATAGGGCACTCGTGGCAAGAAGTTAAAGGTGAACTCAGCAAAAGTGTGACAGATGACGCTATTTGACGATTCCGATCATTATACAGGGGTGTTTGGATAGCAATAAGAATATATACAAGAAGGCAAGAACTGACAGGCGGACCCTGCGAACATATTAACGTACGACAGATGACTCGCTAGAGTCCGTTGAATATACAGGGCTTTCAAATAGTAATACAAACTTGTATAGGGCAGATCAATTAAATTCAATTGGATTAAAGGAACTTACTCAGTCCGAAATGGCTTTATTTCTGAGATACAGGGTGGTAAAGTTGTAGAATGAAAATCGAATTATTCAGACATTCAACAACTAAAGTATGACAGATGACATTTATACTATTCGATAGATGACATATTACGTATGACACGTAACCTTCCAGCGCTTATCGAAAACAGATATCCAGGTTTAGCACAACCTACGAATTTCAAGAAAGCGAAAGAGTTAATTTTTCCCTAGATTCTACGGAAATTACAAGTTACGTCCCATAAGTGACTGCGTAAAACAAAGCAGAGTTTTCCCCAGATCTACGTACTTTTTCGCGAATATCATTATATACAAAGCGATTAGAAAAACCTAAGTCAACTGAAAAAACATATACAGGATGAGCCAAATAAGTGGAGTGGAATATATATTCAAGAAACATATACAGAATGAGTCAAAAATCTCGAGTCGAATGAATTATTTGAAAAACATATACAGGGGGTAGAAAAAATTCAAAATTTATTACCACTCATTCAAATAATAATGAAAAACAAACTATCGAACTACCATGAACCCAATCACGATGTAATTCAATCAAATGGATGATAGATGACATGACAGCAGATGACCGAGGCAGATAACAAACGATCGAATAGCAGTTTCTATATACAGAAACATAGCCAGAGTCTTGAAATTCTCTATACTTATAATGATAATATTAGACATCAGGCGAACTCAGCATACCTATACCCAGTAAAAACATCCTTTTACCGTCCACGTCGAAATATGTCGAACAACTCTTTAGCAAAACTCGTTTTTCTTATGGAAGTATTCAGATGTATTCAGAGGTCTTCAGATCATACCTTCAGAAGTATTCAGATGTATTCAGAGGTCTTCAGAGGTATTCAAAAGTATTCAGATGTATTCAGAGGTCTTCAGAGGTATTCAAGAGTATTCCGAAGATATTCAGAAGCACGAAGTTCGAGCTACCCCGTATGCAAACAGGAAAAAATAGGATATAAATACCTGAACAGCGAAGAAATTCACCATTTTCAGACACTTTTCACTGAAA